GAATACCTGAGAGGTGACTAAAGCTTTCAGGTTGAAAGTTCTGACTTGGTAGACTGATTCCGTTTACAGTACGAGCTTCAATCTTGAAACGATCGGGATGTTGACCCGAGACTTCGAAGGTCAATAACTCTGTCTCGCCAATCAAAACGCTGTTGTTCCAAGCACCGCGCACGTGTAAGGTCTTAGGTTGACCTTTCAACCCTGCTTGTTCAGCAATCTTCTGATCTATCATCATAATTGTAGAGCCGTCGTCTAAAAGAGCATCAGTAACAACGTCGCCGTTAGGGCCATGGATGTGAACCCTAACATACTTCAATAAGATGTGGGGAGGTGTTGGTGAATTGGCTACGGCTGTCACTTCTTGAGGAGCTGCTTCGTTCGTGTCATAGTCTACGTCAGTATCATCAGCGGCATCTGTAGCAGCAGCAGTAACAGAATTGTCCATCTTCCTAGCTGGCCAATGAAGGATCTGATGATGTGGCAATCCGCAATCATCAATTGTACATAATGGAGCCTCACAAGTGTTCTTGTCATGGTCGCTGACTAGACATTTCGGACAAAGTCGGTTGCTGCGCACGAAAGACCATCTGTCTTTTCGAAGCGCGCGCTTGAACTTGGGGCAGTCTATTATAATATGATCTATGCGTTTACGGCAGAAAGCACAACTTGTAGCCTCTTTGGTTTGTGCTAATATGATGTGAGGCCTATGATAATTGGAGTGAGCAGCTGGGCCTTCAGTCCGTTTGAATGACGTTTGAAGTAGCGACACCCCGATGATAGATATTTTTTTCGCTTCATTATCTAAAAACTCCGAAAGTTGTTCTAGTCGCGTTATATTTGAGTAGCTGTCTCGATTTTCGTGTGCATAGTCGGCCCATGTTGTAATCAAGTTGCATGGTAATTTTGATAAAATAATAGAGTTGAGTTCGGGACTTCTTAAGTAATCATCTTGATTTATGGCAGCAACCACACAGTTTTTAATTTTGATTGAAAACGAGACTATGTCATTATGATATGAAAATGACAGTGACGGAATTTTTCTAATTTGAGTGACAATTTTTGAAATAATAATTTCTGGGCGGCCGAAACGTAACTCCAAAGTTTCCATGATATTTTCAGCTAAAACATTACCCATCAAAAGCGCTGAAACACATTCTTTTGCATCACCAATCAGACATTTTCGCAGCCGGCATACATTTTCTGCGTTCGAGAATTGGCAAATATTTGTGGATTCACTGTAAAAATTTTTGAAATTAATCCTTCCAATGGGTCTCCGTTAAACAGCGGCAGATCTTTTGGTGTGGCTATGCGACTTATTATTTTGTCAGCAGATGAAACTTGTTTATCATTCTGTGCACAACCTAAAGCCAACTCGTGTACTGCGTCAGCCAACTTTAGTAATGCTTGATCTTGAGCTTTAGACGCTGATGGTTGGGAGTCTCCTAGAGCAGGTGCTGAAGAACGCACATCTTGCTTAGCGTGGTTCTGGTGATAATCATCCAGGGCAGCATAGTTTGAGTACCGCGCATTTTGTGTTACAGCAGTGCAACTTTTGTTCATATCGTGTTGCGTTACCCAATCTTTTGTTCTAAGTGCTGCGGAAGCCGATGACATACTCGATCCTGTGCGCGACCTGCGCTCCTCAAGTTCAGCTAGGCTCGCGTTCAACTTTTTATCAACAAGGTCTAGTTCTACTCGCGTCCTTACTTCCTTGATTTTTGCTTCCATTTCAGCCTTAATTTTAGCTTCCTCGGCAGCCAAACGTAACCGTGAACCGTGCCTTCGCCTCGGTAGCTTCAAGTTCAAGTTGAATCTTACGTGCATTTGTGGACACAACGGACTTTTTTCGAGCTAGAAACATTTGAGGACTTACTCGACCGATGCACCTTTACCTTACTAGAGCTAACCGAATGATGTTCTGTCTGCATTGACGTCGAAGACAACATTTTTTGTGCAAGTTGATTCTCACTTTTTGCTTTGGCTCTTGTCAACATTTTTGCAATATTTCCAATAAACCTCACGTATTAAGTTTTCTCGAAGGACCACTTATTAGCGTTAGAGCGCTGGTTTTTGTCGTGCAAGGAAAAAATAGAATTTTACTACGGAAATATTTTAGTATATTGATTTAATAACATTGACAAGCAACAATGACATATATCACAGAAAAATAACACCACAAATCATATTAGGAACTCTTTCATCGTTAACAAAATCAATCAATCAATATGTACTTTTATAATTCATATTCAATGTTATTTAAAAAATTCGGACAATTTAAAGATCCGGACAAAGCCCGGACTATAGTCTCAAAGTCTAGACTTATCCAGACGGATAGTAACCCTAGCCCCAGACGAACTATGGACCACCCTATCGCTTGGTCTCTCACACTTATCTGCCTAGTTTTACTTGATGTTTGACAGTTAGGGAACGCCCAGTCCATACACTGTCTTTGGAAATAACTCATTAATTATTTCATTCACTTCACCAGAGATGTGACATTTTACAACTGAAAGTATTTGAATTGCAAAATACAAAAATTCCTATTTCAATTTTGTATTTAAATACTTTTTTTAGAAAAGCAGATTTCAATTTTTTTGAAATAGTTCTAAGGAAATATTTTGTATTTGCAAAATGCTAAATACTTTTTTTCACCAACTTTAGAAAGGAGGTTTTAAAATTCTCAATTTGGTCAGTATTTTTTTATGAATACCCGATTACGCGGAGATTTCTGATCCGATTTACGGATTTTTTTGTGTGATGCAGAATAGTTGCCATTTAGTCCAATACTTTAATTCGGTTTGGCGCAGTAGTTTTTATTTTATGGGCGTTTTTGTAAACTTGGGGGGTGTAATTATTCCGATACTTTATTTAGATGTACATATACCGATTACGTAAATATTTTTAATCTGAATTGAGTGATCCTTTTTTGTTCAATTCGAGATATCTTGCCTTTTAGTTAAACAAAAAAATAATTAAGTTTCACCTGCCCATTTTCATGTAAACCGGTTTTTTTTATTGATAAGTTAGGTCAACAGCAATACCAATTTGATGCGATTTTTGTTTTCTCATTATGATATGACACTGAACTAAACTGTTTTGTTTTCGGGCTACTACGATAAAAAAAAGACAATAAAATAAACACAATTTAAAATTAAAGGTATATTTTAATGAAGTATTTTGTATATAGTATTTTAAATATAAAATGAAAATCTATTTTGTTTTGTGTATTTTGTATTTAACTACTTTTTATAATGTATTTTGCACATCTCTGCACTTAACACATTTTGCATCGACATTCAAACTCTTGAATGTCGATGGGTCATATGTATAAGGGCTAAAGTGCAAAATTAGGACTTTTTAGAAGAGTCTGTTGAAGGATTAAAAATATATCTTTAGACTTTTAATCTTTAGTGTATGAAACTTTGCATGTATATAATTATACTCTTCGTGAATGTTTCAGTGCATATTCGAAATATATTTTAATTTTGCTTTTATTGCACATTCATATTATTCGTTAATTTTAAATATATTATATATTTAGTTATCCAAAAAACTTAGTAAAAGGCCAAAGTACCACTTTGTTCGACCGACTCGCACTTGGCCGGTTTTTTTTCAATTCGATTGCTTCAATTTGAATGAATGTCTGTTGAGAAATCGCATGCGATTTATAGCTGCAGAATGCTATTTGATCAACTATCAACTAAAATCGCTTCGTGCGAACCCGGTATAACTGGCAGATTGAACGACAGTTGAAATAAAAATTCAGGATCTCCCCGCGTATAAGTCTCGAACTACCGTTTAAGTCCTTAAACGTTTAAAATTGTGACACATAAGCCCTTGCGTCAAAAAATCGTGGTTGTAATAATTTTGGTATTGTTTTTCATTCATCATTTATTACACTAAAAGCAAGCATTTACCACCAAATAAACAAAATGAACTTAATACTACTACTACTTTAGCCATTATACATAGGACCCATCGATATCTAAATATCAAAAATCTCCGCAACTGGACTCCACTTACATTTAACAAATGGAGTGGGGTGATTTGCTGTTAAATAACGCCTTGTTAGCACTCAGGTACCCGTGATTTCGTCTGTGGGGTATAATTGGTTTCCCTTGCATAATTACGTCCCCCATTTAAGAGCCCTTTCACATTTTTTGCAAAAATTCGTAATATTTGAGCGCCTCGTTTACCCCCTTAGAAAAGATTTTGACTATTTCCAGTAGAAGTAAACAGTAGATTTATTCTTCCTATTGTAAGTTAATGTAGAGTATTTGAAAATACTATTTTCCTTTTTTTGTACTGATCGTTCTACTGCAGCTAGTTTACGGGAAAAAACGATAATATGCACAACTTCAAACGCCTGAATCTCTAAATAATGTTCAATAAATTAGATCAAAGTAATTACTACTATACCAGAAATATGTTTTTGTTGTAATAAAATGTATTAGAATTTTGATTTTCCATCTCATTAATTATCAAAAATAAACATCTAACCTCCGTGAGCTTTCCCAAAAAATAATGCAGGTTTACCTCGTATTTTGATATTGAATTAAATAGAATTACTATCAAAAACTAATCTACCATCATTGAACTACTGAAATATATATATATTTTTATAATTAGTTCATTAATAATTATTTTATAAGACTCGAAACATCACCCGTAAAATGAAATATATACTAGTGCAAATTTACCTACGCGCCGATTAGTACGGCAGCGGCGCAATTTTGTAAAAAGGCTCTTAAGCCCCTTTCCAAATTTTCTTTCACAAAAGTAACCCTGTAACCGTCTTCGAGATCCCATCTATCTCTATACAAAAATTGAGTTAAATCGATCCTGTGGATTGGGTGTGAAAGTCACGATATCAAAAAATTATAAAACGTCTTCTTTACTGATTCAATGCAAATAGGTCCCATCATCAATATTTTAAAAAATAGGATTCTAAACTGGGCTCCGTTGAAAATAAATGTTGTAGTATATATTTAATGTCTCACCTGGCAGCTCAGTAAGTCCTGATAACGGGCGGTACTGTCTTGCATTCTCCCGCGTCGAGTGTGCCATCTATAACGGGCCGGTATGACAGCTTCGTCGCGCCCGTCTCGCAGTCAGTCTCCGCCATCGTGTGCTTCCGCCAGTGTTTCTCGAACGGTAGTTCGGTCTGTCCAACAATACACAAAATCAATACACATCAATAATTCGGGGTGGAAAGAATGTAAGTGTCCGGCAAGGTTTAAGCTAGGAATTGACGAATCAATTTCATCCCAAGCCCGCCGCGGCAGTGGGACCGCAGCTCGCGTAGAATGTAAAATTGTATACTCTATTCAACTTCCTCTGAGCCAAAATGTAAACAAATAAAGCATTTTTTCTAAAAAAATGTATGAAGAGTAATGATGGCTGATGTAACTAGACTGATACCAAATTTCACATCTCTTAAGTAAATTATTTGCTTTATCACTATTCTTTAATTTGGTACTATAATAATATTTTCAACATTTAGGAATAGGTAAGGCATATTCGCTGACGCGATTTACGAACGTTGAGTGAGCGGCTGTCTGCGGCAGTCCCGTGATTTTTGACTTAAAACAGCTCTTTTGCAGTCGCGGCGGACGTAAGTAAAAACCGCTCCGTGAGTTAGCTTTTGGCTCCATCGAGGCGCATCTTGAAGTCTTCTTATAAATTGAAGTACAGAATCTACAACTCCAGCATCATCCGAAGACCTGAACCCTAAAAAATCTAGTGTGGCTAAATATGTATATTCATTTTTAAATACCTGTCCATCCAAAGGTTTGGAGTAGTCCAATTCATCGCGTCTGGTCTTGAAGTCCTCTCTGGCGTGCGCCCCTCGGGACTCTTCCCTGGCGAGCGCGCCTTCCACGATCTGAACCGAGTTGATGAGCAGATTCTGTAGCTCCAATGTCTCAATCAAATCGCTGTTCCAGATCAACGAGCGGTCCGAAATGCGCACGTCTTTGAACTGCCCGTAAATTTCGTGGATCTGTTTTTGGCCTACGAAAGGAAAGGTCAGTTTGGTAAAATTATAATTCGAAATTAATGATCATGATACAAGTTAGTGAATATGTTTGGATTCGCGTTTAAAATGGTCCAAAAATTTGGACGCTCTTTTAGATATTTCAAATTGCTCTTGTGCATAGCACTCTTATAACATATTAATCAGGATTAACATGACTAAGTAGTGTTCACAGTCAAATCTTTAGTAAGAATGCGATAATGAAATGAACCTATGCTTTATTAAAATTTACTTATTGAAAGATCTATTGAATCGTCCAATATTTTTACCTACTATTAAGGATATCTTTTAGGTGATAAAAAGAATGGGCGCAAGAAACATATCAACATTTAACAGAACTTGACAGAAGTAGCAACATTTACAAAACATCATGTCATTTAACGGATTAAGCTGGACCCAATACAGCAGACCCGCTGTAATCCGGACCCCGTCTAATCCGACACGCTTATTACTGTTGATTTGCATATAAAATCTATTGAAATAGATGTCAAGATTTGTAATTCGTACTCCAATTTCAAATTAATTTTTAAAAAATTCGCCCTGCAAAACATTTTGCGGATTACCGCGGGTCTACTGTAGTGTTCTACTAAAAGGGAACACGTCCGAGTTGAGATCTCTGAGACTCAAGGGGGCTACTGTGTTTTAACCAAAGTCCGGTCTGTGTATAGCAAGTCCTTAATTTATAAATCGAGTAACAGTTCTCTCGTTACCCTTCTCGTCGAAGACTGTGACGCTCTTGCCGTGGCTCACTTCCTTATTCTTTAAAATAAGTATTACTAGGGCGTTTATTTGTTTTAAAATAATTACTGAATTTTGTTAAAATGCAAAGCGATCAAATAAAATAACTCGTAAAACTTATAATAATTGTTGACCGCAACTGGCTGCACACAACGGAACTGAACGAATCTACAGCATTAAGTGAAATATAATTAAGAAAAAAATATTCTATTACTATAATGTCTGTTACAAATGAATTTATACCAAAAGTAAAGAACAGGTAGGTATACAACTATACAAAGTTTAGAAATGGGGATTCATAAAGCCTTATCAAAATCAATTGCACAATTTAATGATCATATTCTTAGAAATTGTTTAAAAAAATAAGGCTTAATTTGTAACATCAATATTTTTTTATCGTCATTACTCAAAAACGAGCTCTGGCTGTTAACTGTATTTGGCAATAGTTAATTATATTTCGTTACTTAATAAAACTGCGTTTGAACGATTGGTTTGCGTGATTTATGAAATATCTAGGTTCGTCGGCTAGCGAGATCGCAGCATTATCCTGTTGAATGTCCTGCATTCACTTAAGTAACTTCGTTCAACAGTAGTCAACTTTTACGTTTATTTTACAGATGTGAATAATTGTATTTATTATTATATAAAAAAATAACCATATGCATATGTTGGATTACTGATAAAAACAGGATGATTTTTAGGCCATAAGCATTTATTTAATCGATTAATTTTTCGATTCTTAACGTCAATTGAAATAATTTTGAATAATCTTTTCGGTGCAACACTGTTGAACTATAGACAACAGACAATTCCCGCCTGCCAAAATAAGCTTACTTTTCGACTCGAGTTTTTATTTATGATTTTCCATATATTAATAAATAAATTAGTGCTATAAAACATAAACATATAAAACATAATATGTCAATTCCCAAGGAATGCAAATGAATGTATTAAGAAATCCATTTAGTGATTCATTGCATGGGAATTGAGAAGTAAGTGTTTCTTTACATTTGTTCTAAATTCATTTGGAACAGACTATACACAATGATATGTCACCCAGAAAAAATATTAAATAATGGCTTTATTACACTGGGCCGTTAGCCCGTATTCGGGTACACGAAAGACATTACTTGAATTTCGGCACCCAAAGCAATATTTACACTGTAATAAGAGGTGGAAGACGGTATCGGGTAACCAAAACGTAAACTATCTGAATACGGACGTACTCGACTCCGTTCATTTATACTTAGTCGTTTACCCGAATTCCAAATTCCCGAAACGAACAAATGTAATTGATCCATAACGGAAATGAAATAATTTTGCACTTAATTTTAACATACCTTCCTCTAATGTGCTCTTCTGTCTGAAGACAGCCGCATTTTTCTGCATGCATTTCTGCATGAGCAGGCGCAGTTCCGCCGTTGACAATGGACCGTTCGCGTATCGGATCTGGTCCAAGTTGGCAATACTCTTCTCGCCAGTAGACTATTGGAACAAATTTTAAATCTTTGAGTACATGAGTTATTAATCTATTTTTTTAAGTCAAATAGGAATCGAAATCCATTGTTTTTTAACATGACGTTGGTAGAGAAACGCTAAACAGTGTTTCATGGAAGATAACACGTTCTAGCTTGGACCTCCAAGAACTAAGGGCAATTCAATACATAATTTTGAGCAATAGGTACTAGGTAACATATAATCATGCTCTATATAAAGTCATTATTAACTACATCTTTAAATATAAAACATTGATTATTTTGTTTTAAAAAGCGAGCGAGATATTAATTTATTCCCAATCCATCATAAAAGATAACAAATGAGAATAAAATTAATATAACATAGATAACGACAAACTACTACTTTGTTATTATCTTGTTCTCAAGGCGCAAGAAAGTCACAAACAATATTGAAACTAGAGAACCGTTTTTAGAATATCAAATATAAGATAATACATAACAAAATTGTTGAAATAGACATTTATAATCAAATGAATAATTCCAGACAATTATTTCCAATATAAGCAAATCTTTAGGATATATAGGATGCTAAACTTAATAACATAGTTAAAATAATTGATTAATAAACATACCCATCGGTATATATAAAAAAACAATTATGGTTATGAAGACCGGTCATCAAAAGATCTACGAGCAAGAAAAGTATGATTAATCACATACAGTAAGGGGTACGTCCGTAATTACAATTTTACATTGACAGCGCTGTTATCTTCTTGAAATAAGAGCGCTTTTGATGATATTATTAGTAATATTAGCATACCCTTGACTGTAGAATATCTAGTGAAAGCGTGGCGTCTTTAGAATCTATAACTTAGATAAAATTCTAACAAAACGCGAAGTGAGGTCAATATGTCGAGTCTAATAAGATTAGTTATTGCTTGATCTTGTTTTGTCTGTTGATGTTATAACGTCAGTTATCAGAGTCCACACACACTTTCCATTCAATGTATTTAGGAAATGGAAACGTGATATCGCGCACGTAATAACTGCATAAACTTTTCCTTTAAGATTTTTGAAGTGAAAACTTCTTTAGCGGCGTTGTACCCTTTTTAGTAATGGGTAAAAATGTTAAACTCGCTTCAGGACATGTGACCTAAAAATTCGTAAGACGAAAACAATAAATTTGGAAAGGTTGTTGACTTTCAATATATTGGACAAAACATAGCAATATTTTATTTTATCCTATTATAATAATAAGTCTCTATCTAGGACGTCCAGGTGGCAGCTTTATTACGAAGAAAATGCATTTTTTTACAATAGATGTCGCTAGGTGCGCTTAAATGTGATTCCTAACCATTCCAAAATATCAAAAATGTAAAACGTTAATATTCAAGTTTTCACTTCTGCCGGCAATCCCGGAGTGCAACACGTTTTTTTTTAAATTAGGCAAGACAAAACAAACGTCATTAAAAGATTATTTTAAAGTAGCGCACGGATATAATAAGTAACATGTTAACATTTTTTTACTTAATCATTTTCTATGGACTGTAAACAACACAAATAACATACATAAAGCTTCAGGTACAGTACCCCAAGCATTAACTTTGAAAGATTCGTGGCCCAAGCATGAATTTTTGACAGCTTCATAACGTATCGTCATCGTTAAATTTTGTATGGAAAAAGCTAGTTTGTTCTTACACCCGATATCCACTGTTTAGTTTTCATAGAAACTTTGACGATGCGATACGTTAGGAGCTGTCAAAAATTAAGAAGTGCTTGAACACTACTCAAGCACTTCTTGGTTCACAGTCACGCGCGGACTGTTGATAAGTCAAGATGCCGCTGAGCTCCGTGAAAAAATGCGAAAAAAAACTTATAGTACCTACGTAGAGTATCTAATCGACAGGTAAAGTACGACAGGTATCTAATCAATGGTGACAATAGTGTATCCCTGTCATTCTCTTTACAGAATGAAAAGGAGAGACTGGTATTACATTTACTTTTAAGTTTAGAGAACCCTGCCAGAATCGACACTAGTGCTAGTAATTTAACGCATTTGAAGCATTTTTTTTTATAATATTTACTATAAACTGATTAAATAGAAAATATTTGTGTTATTCAAATGCTTGGTCGGTTATATAGCCGTCTCTTTTCCTCGCGCTCCGTATTTGCTATACTGCTAACAGCGCATTTAGAATTACGCGTAGAGTCAAAGTAATAAAGTCTATATTCTTCCGCCTATAACAACAAGTAGTAAAATTTTACGAGCTTGCGTTTCAAAGTGTCATAACTCTTTGACGCATGCGTTTAAATTAAGACCTTATCTACTATGCATTAAAGGTGACTTTGTATGATTAAATAATACTGTACACTTATATTGTTTTTGACTACGCGATCATATTACGGATTTCCGTGGACCGTCCAATGTACCTTTTGGATAGGTTTCAGCCTAAATTTTTTTCGTGTTGTTGATCTAGGGTATTAAACATCGTTGCTCCGTAATCGTAGCGTATCGTCAAAATTTCTATGGAAACATAGCAGCGCCCCTATCGAACGTAAGAAGATACGGGCTCCTTCCATAGACAATTTAAGATGGCGATACGCTTACGGATCTGTCAAAGTTCGTGCTGGGGGTACTGAACCTAAGCTTCATATGTGTTTTTTGTGTTCTTTTCACGCCTTAGAAAATGTTAATGTAAACACGTGTTTAAATGTTATTTATAATGTCCGTGCGCTACTTTGAAAAAATCATTTAATGTTGTTTGTTTTGTCTTGCCTAATTAAAAAAAATCTTAAAGTAAAAGTTTATACAGTTATTACGTGCGCGATATCATGTATCCATTTCCTAAATACCTACATTCTACAGTTTGTGTGTGTGTGAACTCTGATAACTGACGTCATATGGGGTATCGCGTTTCATTCGTGGGTAAACATTTTATTTTAATTGTTATCATTTTTTAAAAGAAATTAATAAAATGTTCGGCGACATATCAAAAGCTTTTGTATCGAAGCGAGACTGAAACAGAAATATGCGAGTACAACTCTCTATCTCTGTCCCACAATTTGTATGTGCATGTGATTATAAAGACTGAGGCTGTGCTGTGTGAGTTGTGTATGCGCATGGCTAGTTCATACCTCTTATTTTGGTGGAAGGATGGCAGAGTGCAAATCAAACTTAATAGCAAGGGCAATGGGCAATATAATAGGTAAGGAAGTCAAATGCTGCACTTTGGTCGCTTTGCGGCTAGCTACATTTGATCTCTAGGGAGGGGCAACTGCCCCCCAGCCCCTGCCCCCCTTGGCGACGCCCTTGCATCGCACTATTTATTGGTATACTTACATCCTTGAGGGGCGCCTGAGTGTCTCCCGGTTTAGCGATCTCCTTGATGGTGAGTGCGCACGCGCGGCCGAACACTACGATGTCCAGCAGGGAGTTGGCGCCGAGTCTGTTAGCGCCGTGAACTGAAGCGCACGAAGCTTCACCAGCCGCGAATAGACCAGGCACTACTTTGTCTTGCCCGTTGTAATGGGTTATGACCTGTTATTTAGAAGAAAGTTTTTAATAACAACGACATTTTTTATTTATAAGTAAGTAGGACCAAACCATCCAACCATATAGGATGTAAACATAGACAAAGTGCCTGTAGTAAGTGTTCTAAAAATTAAATTTTGCATATGTACGTATCGGTGTTTGATTGTGTAATGTAGTGTCGTTTTGTTATGCTAAGATATGCTTAAAACACAGGATACCATCACTGAAACTGAATTGTATATGCTCAATTGTTTTCTTAGTTTCACATAATTTACGACGACAAGTACAACAAGTCGTACAATGTACGACAAGTCGTACTGTGGTAAAGTGAAGTGAAGCCGACGCTGTTAGCTCTTGCTGAACATATATGTTATATATGAACAGCGTATTGGACCAAAGCACAGTGTTTTATAGAACCAAAAATATTTACACCTTAAGGTTTTTGCATAAATCAATTATTTAAACCCTAATAAAGGCAAGAGTTCAATTCCCAGATCACTATTTTAAGTAAAAAAAAAGATATGAAGTAGCAAAGTTTTTGAAATTTGCGCATGAAAAAATTAACAATTTAATTTCCTCAAAAGACGGTTCCATATCTGTCCATGAGATATTTGCCAATTGCTAAGGAATTATTGATGGCATAATTTTGTAATTTTATTTTATTTATAAGTGTCCTAGTTTCCAAGAAATATAGTTTTTTTAAATTTCGAATTTTAATTTTTTTCTCCAAAAATCGGCAAAAGTGGAACCTGGATTTAGTACAGAAAGGTTCTATAATCCAAGTTCTATCACCCATAAAAAAATCAAGTTTCACTTTTGCGGTTTTAAGAAGTTATGACAGAATTTAGATAAAGGTCAACTTTCATGATCTAGGGTTGTCACAAAGGTCAACTATGAGTTAAATGAAAATGTTATTTTTTTTTGTTATTAATACCGTCAATCAATTGAATAAATTATATTATATTATAATTGAATAAGTGTTGTACTTATAGACGAATACAATATACTTACATATACTACCTACCTAATGTAGATGTGATAATGTAGGAATACTTTATGTTTTAATTTTGACGACCACATTTTAATTTTGCCTTACACGCTAAATGGCAACGAAAAAATAAACTATGTTGTTTGAAAAAATTTGACACACATCCTATACTATAAACGAGCAATTATTGTATGTACCTATATAATATATTGGTATGTAATTGGTTTCTCGGAAACGGATCTAACGATTGTGATGAAATTTTGGATTTAGAAATTCATTCACATTTAAAATCAATCTAGGATAGTGTCATCACCTGCCGGCACCTTCTTTATGCAACACCTCTACTTTAACTTTTATACAAATAAATCATCTTCGTTCAATAATTCTAGGTTGCTTTCATTTGCGACGTTCGAAAATCTTCATCTTCAGCATCTTCCTCTGCTTCGAATAACGGCAATCGATCTGCATCAATGGTTGTAAGAGCTCGCAAACAGCTGAAGGCAAGGGAAATCGCTTAGAATATTTTCGACGTTAGCTGATATTTGCCATAGAAATAAACGGGTCTGATGATTCTAGGGCACGGTGAAAGAGGTCCGTCATTGTGGTTCTCCTGTTCATTTTTCGGCAATGATGCTCTCTTTCTGAACGCTAGAATTTATTTCGGGACTCAGCTGCTTGTTCAGATAGCATACCGATGGGCAGTGCACTGGACGCAATAATTTCTTCACCGTGCATGAGGATTTTATGAACTGTTACTGTCATTGGGTGCCAACTATAAAAACGGACATATTTTTCAACCCTAGATCATGAAAGTTGACCTTTATCTAAATTCTGTCATAACTTCTTAAAACCGCAAAAGTGAAACTTGATTTTTTATGGGTGATAGAACTTGGCTTATAGAACCTTTCTGTACTAAATCCAGGTTCCACTTTTGCCGATTTTTGGAGAAAAAAATTAAAAATCAAAATTTAAAAAAACTATATTTCTTGGAAACTAGGACACTTATAAATAAAATAAAATTACAAAATTATGCCATCAATAATTCCTTAGCAAGTGGCAAATATCTCATGGACAGATATGGAACCGTCTTTTGAGGAAATTAAATTGTTAATATTTTCATGCGCAAATTTCAAAAACTTTGCTAATTCATATCTTTTTTTTTTACTTAAAATAGTGATCTGGGAATTGAACTCTTGCCTTTATTAGGGTTTAAATAATTGATTTATGCAAAAACCTTAAGGTGTAAATATTTTTGGTTCTATAAAACACTCGGTGTCAACCCTAGCATAAAAATTTAAAAATTAATATCTTCTAAACGCCGCAAAAGTGACACGTGGCTTATTTATGTATGATAGACCACATCTATCTAAGTTCTAGGTTCGGGAGGAGATGGCGGGCAGGAGATCAAGCATGAGCCTTACAATTTTTTTAAATTTACGTAATCATAAATGATTATTCTAAGTCTTTACCTCTCCTCGGTAGTTGGTTGGGGTGCCGCCCATATTGTAATGCACTGTGGGTAGTACTGGAATGGGTTCCTTTGTGACGTCGACTCCGGCGAAGATCATGGCGGTTTCCGAAATGCCGGGTAGACGCTGCTTGAGTTGTTCCGGGGGTAAGTGGTGCAGTTGCAAGTATACGTGGTCCTTATCCGGTCCGCAACCGCGACCTTTATTAATAACACCAATAATGTGACATTTTCTAGAATTTTCTCAATATTTTTAAAATACAGATAAAATGACGATTTGTTGCGACGTTTTGATCTTTTCTTACAAAAAAAAGCAAAAGATTAAATAACTAGTTATTGAAAATTATACGTTTTTGTTTTAAACTTTCATGGTCACTAAAATTATAGTAATATAAGTTATTTACGGAATTTTTACCATGTACCTTGTTTTTAGCGAGCTTCCGATATTTCGGCACAGAAAACAAAAAAAAACAAGGTACATGATAACAATCCCGTAAATAGCTTATTATACGTTTTTTTTTCACAGCTGTAATGACTGCTTTTTTATCTTATTCAGTGAAAAATAAAAAAAAATATTTTGTATTAAACTGGTAAGACTGTAGATGAACGATTCAAAAATACGAAAAATCCGTATCATGCGACTAGTAAGTCGAAAATGACTTAAGTCGCATTCGAAGATACTATGTCAGGCGAGCGAATCAAAAATATAGCTTTGGTTTGGGTAGGCAATGATGTGAGAGATATTTTTGGTATTGCAAGCATCTATAGGCTATGGTGGCCGCTTTACATCAGGAGGACAATAAGCTTGTGTGCCATTAAAAAAAAACGCGCGAGCCTTACAGTAGTCGCGTATGATGTAACATTTGAAAACTCATCTTATATAAGTAAAAAAAGAACATTATGTTCTAAAATCAAATCAAATGGCGCGCGCTTTCGCGACTTCCTGTTACACACTCCCATCCCATTTCACGAAATCACTCCCACAAATTGCAGGAAAGCGAGAGGAAAGATGTTACACATTAATAAAAACATAGAAAAGAGTGCGATTGAAACCTAATGACGGCCGTGAGGCCAGCACAAGTCGCGACGCAATAAACGAAATGTAGGATTAAATAACACACTTTTTTAAAGGGTTTAAGGCGCGTCCTTATTATTTTTACGTTATTCTTGTCTTTTGGACCTCTACAGACTCTTTGGAGGCAAGGGTAAAGAATCTGAAACGACACGAGCAGGGGCGTATTTACTCTAGACGTCAGACTGCGAGTGGCTTCAGAAACCATACAAAGGATTCGTTACTGAACTGTATTTTCTTTTGATTTACGAATTCTAAATTTTTGGTTGCCCATCGAATGAATGGCCATTGCGAAAGTTGCTTAACTTCCACGAACGAACGAACTCCTCTGTATGGTCTGCATTGGTCTACCACTTGTTGGTAAGTATTATATGTTGTCACTTTCTCGTGCACTGTACCAATAAATAAAAAACAGCCTTAGGAATAATCTATCATAAATATTAGTAACCCGACAGAACATAAGATTATGTTAAACCTATTGTTATATAAACAGCATATTGTGGCGTGTCTGTCTGTCGTTCCAATTCTTAATTATAAGCTAGTTTTAAGTTCTCTATTGAAAACCTATTTTTGGCTCTCAACTTTTCAAAATTCTATGTTTATGGTACTTTCTCGGTATTAATTTACTCGCCGCTTCACGGCACTTCATTTACTATATTTACATTATATCTCTCATACTTATTTTATCATTCCCATAATATAATATTTACTTTTATTTCCTAATTGTTAAAATTATTGATATTTCATATTGATGCTTCACGTCACTTCCAGATCATAACTTTTTCTCCACCTATAAATAGTTTCATCACTTTTAAAGTTTAATCTTTTTAATATGTGCCTGCCGAGAGAGACCATAAACGTCTTCTTCAAAATTCAAAAATGTTTCTTTTGTTTTAGCTCGTTCTATTAATTTCTTTTTATTCTTTCTTTCCTCTTAAGCTGGCGCTACACTCTCCTAACTCTCTTAGGGGAGTGTAACGGTACAATATTATTATCAGATTATAATTTGCAAAAGCATACTAAAGTTCTCGCTAAGATATGAGAATTTTATCTTGTTTGGCATCAGAAATATAAAATGTGAAAATAAATGTAGATATTGCTGCCAAACTTACTTTTAAGGAATGAATGAATTTACAGAAAACAAATTCAATATCGTTTATTCAGTTTAGGCTGTCACAAGCACTTGTGAATGTCGTGAAGCTACGCCATCGGTTCGTAAATATACGGTGGGAGACTTTGTACTTAGAAGAACCCGCAAGGAACTCAGCAAGGGCTGCTTTTTGAAGTAAAACTTCTTTACTCACATTTGACTTGGGGGTTAAGCTGGCGAATGCGTTACACATTACAAAAAGCGTGTTCGGGCAAGGCGAACGGGAGTTGAGTGGGGGATATAAGCAAGAGAAAGCAGTGCGCGCGCACATTTTCTTTTTCTCTTTCTCTTATAGCTAATAAATGAAATATGTATATGTACATACATGTTTATATTGTACACACACACACGCATATATATATATATATATATATATACATACAGATGGAGCTAAAGAAGTTTCCCTTCAGTCGTGTGGTAATAAGCACACTTGTTATTATCTCCCTGTATCATATTAAACAGAGTCGTCAAGTTCAAAATAACTTTAATATGAGATAATTCATGAAGTCACAAATAATATCATTACCTTCCATGATTTCGACAGTCATAGCTCTAGAGACCACGTCGCGACTAGCGAGATCCTTGGCGACTGGAGCGTATCGCTCCATGAATCGTTCGCCCTTTGCGTTCACGAGAAAACCACCTTCACCGCGACAACCTTCCGTCATTAGGCAGCCGGCGCCGTAGATACCTTGAGATAATGAAGAAATATAAACCAAATATAACGACATCGTTTATAACGTCATGTCGGTTACTACGACCAATAGGGTATTTGACAGTATTAAAAATAAAGTGCCAATTGTTAGCATCTGTATTTAGAATGAATATTGGCAGGGGTTTTTACTATTTTTACAAAGAAAATATTTATAATTTTACTAAAAACCCACGAAAAAGATAATAGTTTTCTTCTCTATTGTCACGTGACCCAAAACGCTAGGGATTGGCGGAGCCTAAAATGACGTCACACGCAAGTGAACTTTCGGTTAAAGTGACATTACATTGTATCATTTGACGTTTTAATAACAGTCGTGTTACGTCACACACTAGTAAGACGCCATATTGTCCAGAGAAACGTTTTCGCGGCAAATTGAAAATGGAGTTTTTGATTTGGTAATTTTTACTGATAACGTAATTCCGGAGTACTAAGGCATTCTTGTCTGCTAGCCTAGCAATTTCCAGTAAAGCAGGAAAAATCAGCGAATTGAAGTTAGTTTAGTCGTAAAAAGAGGTTTTCAGAGAAGAGATTGTTATGTAACACTACTATATTTAAACTATTTTTAAAAGTAATCGTAATTTTTCTGGACCTAGTAAATGTCCGTTATTACGGTATAAAATTTGACTCTCCAGGTAATTCCGTAAATGGGTGCTGGTAATTCCGGCATATGCAGAAAAATGCCGTTTTTCTGCAGGATTACATGAAATATGAAACATAAATTTAATGTGACGCGTTCTAAATAAAACAACTTTATTTTATAAGTGTAGGAAAATAGTTTATTTAAATTTTTAGGTACTTATAGTAACTTTAAACTTTCATGAATCAAATTGAACTTACTTCGACTTACTTCTAGCACGGTTTAGTGAACTATATTATATTCATTTATTTATTATTATTTATTTATATATGAAATAATCCGTTTATAAGTCTAAAATTTAATCATCAGTCTATATTTATATTTCAGGTACTCATAGTAACTTTGTACTTTCATGAGATCAAAATGAACTTACATCGATTTAAATTAGCAGGGTTTAGCGAACTATATTAAGTATATTCATTTATTTATATATATATGAAATAATCCGTTAAAGTCTATAATTTAATCATCACAGTCTAAACATTGAATAGAAAATACGCCTCTTTTATTTACCGCCATAGGAGCCTTAATTTTTTTGAGAACTTCTTTAGCGTCGTATATTAAAATGTCATCTTTTTGAGGCCAACGCCAATTCACTCGCCCACTTGGCTCGAAACCGCTCATGGTCATAGTTTTTATTTTATATTTTGTTTCAGATGCATCGTGTATAATTTCCATTACTACACCCGGAAAATTTTCTCCTTCATAAATAATTATAACATTAATTATTATATACATACATACATAAGTTATTTGCAACGAGTTAGAATCAATCCTTTCATCTGAAACTATGGCTGGTGTTTCAATTTCTCTATTTTTTGTTGTTGTTCTCGAAGGACCAGGTTTATTAATTTGATCTGGAACTTTAGATGACTTCTTTTTGTTTTTTTTTACTATGTTCTTCGCCTTTATTTTTTCTTTGGCTTTATTTTCACGGTCTTGTTTTCTTTTTTCTTTTTGCTTTAGCTTGTCTTCTTTTTCTTCTTTAAGCTTCTTTTCATATGCAATGTATTCATCAGCAGTTCCTATAATGGGAGCCAGTTTTTTTTAATAAGTATTTTACCTTTACTGGTCGACGGAGTTTCTGGCCACAACAAAGCATTTTTGAAGGGTGTGGGAAATGCGGATTTCTTGGAATTTTGAGAATTTTCGCTTTGATCTTGAGTAGGGGAATTTGATTCAGTAACGGAATTCTGAATATTGGTAGAACTATCTTCATATTTTTTATTATTCTGGGACGTCGAAATCGGAGACGATTCCAATGTATCATCAGCAGATCTAGTAAGTATCTTTATAGGTGTTTGGTGAGATGAAGATACTTCACCAGATTTGGATGATTTTTTTTTTTAGTCTGATTGTTTGGGGTTACGCATTTTTCGTGTTTATATATATATATAGACAGCAGCTATATTCATATTCATATCATATATTTGTACTACAGATGCTATTTGAGAAGTTAGTGCTTCTTTGGAAATGATAGGTTTGCTATTTTCTACTTTTCTATCCGTTTCATTAGGTGGTGAGAATCTTTCTTGAGGAACTAGTAGTAGGCGTAGTCACAGAAAAAGTTGAATTGTTGGTTGGTAATGTTCCCGATGGCTTAAATAATTTATCGTTGTCTCTATTTGCGACTTTTTCTTTGGGAGTTATGATTGTAGGAACATCAGCAGGGTCATTTTGTTGTATGACAACTGAGGATTCTTCCAGAATAGCTTCTTGTGTGAGAAGTATAGTTTCTGGGGGCGGTACTATTATTACGGGAACATTACTAACGTTATCCTGCTCGGAAATTTTCCATTTATTACCGATTATATTGCTTGAATCATCTAGCAAATCACCTGCCGCTTTAGAATTTGTTACTAACTCTTGTTGCGTCTCTTTAAAAGAAATGGTCTCAATAATACTTGGATTTTTAGGAGTTGAACAGGGTAAAGCACTGATCAAAGTTATCTCGTTAAGAAAAGCCGATTCAACTATCGTGTCTTCATTGATCCAATTATGGTCAAGATCGGCTAACGTAAAGTCATTTTCCACAAGAGTGGTATTGCCTAGACTCATTGAATCTGGTGTTGGTGTATGACTCGTACAGGTCTGCTTCCAGAAATAGTACAGACTGTCGTCTTTTACATTGCCTGTCCATTCTCCAGAACATTGCCGGAATTCATTTAATTTATGAGCATCTAAATTCATCTCGAACCACTTAATAAAATCTTTAGATTGTAACTGCTTGCTGCTTTCTAAAGAGCTCAAACTTGTAGGTGTACTTGCGCCAGAACTTGACGCAGTTGCCGCAGAAGATTTAGGTATTTTTTTATAATTAACTGCATTTTCGTCGAAGGGATACAGGCCGGACATTCGAAAGCCATTTTGAATAATTTCTGGTCGCAGAGTCGTTTTTATGGCTTTTTCAAGCACGGGACCAAAATCTTCTCGCTTCAAGCGTCTGCCATTATTCTCCATCCTCCAAGTATGTACTGCTTTACTCCAAGCGTTTTTGAGGCTGTGAAATACTGCAACGTCCATAGGTTGTAAAGCATGTGTGGCGCTAGGCAACAGAGCTATCAGTATAATGTTTTTTTTTTTACAAAATTCGCATACTGGGAGCGACAGATGAGAGACGTGTCCATCCAGGAACAAAGCTACAGGTCTTGTAATATTTTCTTTCGTCAAAAATGGCTCAAATTGATTAGCCACGTACTCATAAAATGCCTCTGATGTCATCCATCCCGAGTCAGTACGTCCAATGGCCCAATCCTTAGGATATTTCAACAAATTTATTTTGTGGTATCCTTTTATATGGAAATAATGCTAATACCGGCATTAGTTTCCCGTCAGCTGACGCGCCGAGACAGAGCGTTAGATTTTCTTTATCATCATTACCAGATCGGCAGTGAACATTTTTCACTCCCTTTCTAGCAAGGACTGGTTGACCTTTCGGACACAAAAAAAGCAGACTCATCGCAGTTGAACACGCGTGCGGGGTCTTCCAACACAGCCATGAGATTGTTGTCTTCGAAATATTTTCGGACTCGTTGAAACCAGCCCCTTATTTTTTCTTCAGTAGCGTTTACACGGGCAGTAGTCAATGCTTGACATACTCTCTTTCTTATCATTGGGTTTCTTTTCAGAAAGGCCTCGTACCAATGTCTGCCAGGGACTCCGTCCTTGAATGGATTTTGTCGCTTCAATCCTATCAGTAATTTAGCTACCGAGTGTAGCAGTTGATCTTTCGTAACTGGAAATCCAATTTCGGCCATATGCAGTACCCATTTTACCAACAAACCTTCTTCTGTCGATGACAGGACTGTTGGAGCTCCTGCTGACTCTTGTTTTTTGTATTGTTTATTAATTTTGTCATGCAAGGTCTGGTTGGGTATGTTTTATACCTTAAATGCACGATATATGGTCATGGATCCATTTTTTATATCCTCTAAAGCTTTGGCGAGGTCCTCGTTGGAGTACTTTTTGTTTGACATTTAAAAAAATTATAATGCAGTAGCTCACTCAGGTACTTCTATATCTACCGTAATGAGAGACACAGCCAAAAACAGTGAAGGTAATTGCGGTAGTCAGATTAACATAAATTTCTAACGAGTAACTCTTCTTAACAACATAAAATTACTTGAATTGTATAGGAATGCAATCATACTAGTAATAGGTACCAAAAAATATACTGGAAGATACAATTAAATTAAACAAATTAATGATTTTGTACCGATGTTATTTGTGACGAATCTGTTTAAAGTAAAAAAATGTGTTCTCTTTGCACACGTATTTCATAACATAGAGAAATAAAATCGTAATACGTAATTTGATTCCATGAAACTATGTTATGTATTAGACCTGTAACAGCTTTTTTTGTTTACTTATCTCATCTCGTTCCTGACAAATTACAAAAAACAAAATCACCTTCCTTTCCTCTATTCCGTAATTGTTACGTAATAATGGACACGGTTGGTTTTTGGTGTAGGTAATTCCGGCAATCAGAAAATTTCAATTAACTCGCTAAAAACTAAATGAAGTAACTTGAAACGGTAATCAATCAGTTTGTTTTAAAACCCTTAAAAATAATTACATTACTTAGTTATGAAAATACTTACATATCACTCGCAATATACTTATGAAAATCCGCGCGGTAGCTTACGCGTACGCAACACACACACTACCTTTATGGCGGTTTGGCGCAGACCTCAGACCAAATAAAAAGTATAGACAGAGTCTGCCGAACCAAAAAGTGAAGCCGATAAAACTACGCCTCGCCGTGTACATACACAGTTACACGCACACACATGCAACGAAACTACGCCTTGGATTCTCAGTCGAGCTATCCCGACGCGCGGAGTGTGACGTAATAATAAATAACAATATTTATTAGAGAAAATGCCGAATTGTGTAGTGAAAACGTGTAAAAACCAATCTTCCAAGAATAAAAAACAGGATGGAATCACATTTCATACGTAAGTAAAGTTATAAACTGCTATTTTCAATTAATCAAAATCAAATTTGAGGTTGTCGCTTTATAAACAAAACCTGAACGAAATGTTGCCATGATTATTCGTTACAGTTTTACCCTTTTGTTGGGTAGCGTGAAATATAACGTAACGTTATTTTATTAAATACATTGTGTGGCATACTTTTATATTATTCGGATATTGTAATGCATGGATAAACAATTACACGAAACATCTTTTTTCTTTATGTATTCGTATAAATTTTTTGGGATGTAATACATATTATATATTATACGTTTTTTTTAAGATTTCCTAATCGAGATCAAGATCTAAAAGAGAAGCGGATTGCAGTCATTCGTAAGAGTAGAAATGAACCATTGTGGCAACCAGCTTCCCGCAGCGTGGTTTGTTCGACTCATTTTTAGAGCGACGATTTGTACTACACAACAAAAGGGTTACGTCGTGTAAAACAAAATGCATATCCAAAGGTATTTTTTTTTACTATTATTATGGTTACTTAGATTAATTTATATTTTAAAGATTCCAATAATTTATTTGCTAACTGCTTATTGTTTGTACAAGTCCCACCATCTATCATGTTGTGGTAGAACTACTTGATTCAGTTTCCCCATTTTGCCGTATTATGCTACTAAATTAAAGTGAACTTACTTGAATTAAGTATCATTGTTCATTAAAAGTATTAGTCCAATAGTAAAAATAATGTTAATTTGGTACTTAGCTAATTTTAAACTCAACCTTGACCGCAACTGTGCACACTAGAAAAATGCCTCATCTAATGTGCACACCGTTTTAAGATGCATCTACTTTTTAATGGCCTTTTTGACCCAAAATTCGCGATGTTTGTGGATTTATTTTATTATGTTCTTGTATAGGAACTAGTGATTATATTTTGTGTATTCTATAGAAAATTTCATGTACATTTTAATAAAAGAAACTGTTTATCAACATTTGTATATGCTTTTCGTTTTATCGACATAAAGTTGAGATGACTGATTTGGTAGCGATTTCAAGTGCCTTGTTGCGAGTGCTTGAAACTATAAAATGAACAAACCTATTCCATCCGAGACTTGTAACTAAAGTAAAATAAACAATCCAACATAATTAAACGTCAACACACAAATCAAGGCACTTGGATCTCGCATTTGTTTTTATCAACACTTGAAACACGACCCTTTTTTTCTGTTGCGTGTTATATTTTATAATTGTATTTGGTAAGTTATTATATACATTCATTTATATATAGTACATTCTATATGTACAAAAACCTGGATTATTAATTTACAAATTTTGAAAATATACCTCATTTTACCTATTTAAACGACTTTTTTTATCTTTCCTGAGTTTACCATAATGTAATTAAAATAAATTATAGACATGATGCATTGTGTACACACTGTTTTATTGAAAATTTTATGGAGAATCCAAATATACGTTTGTGAAGGGTATTTTTACAAAATAACAGAGAAATCGGCAGAACAATGCAATCGTTCCCACCCACGGGCGGGCGGTCCATAAAGAAGTCCGGCACTTGTAGGTGAGAACGGCGTATGACCTTTGGCTCACGAGAGGTTTAGAGAATAAGCTTACGATATTTTTTCTAATATTTTATAACGTTATTAATAACGTTATGGAATAACGTTATTACATTTTTCTAATATTGGGGTGTTTTATATGACTATGGTAACACTGGCTAATGCACTACATACATAAAAAACCGGCTTCACTTTTTGGTTCGGCAGACTCCGTCTTTACTTTTTATTTGGTCTGAGGCGCAGACTGACCGAGGGAGACGTGACAACTGAGCCGACGATGGTTACAGTTCTTTTTAACGTGTAATTGACGCTCTATTGTACATACTTAATAGATAATTTTAGAACTTTTAGATACAATTAGAAGTTTTTTTATTTTTAGGCCTAAACCGAAAACTTACGGAATTTCGTACACTTACGTAATATGGTACATCTACCTTACACAACAGAATAATGAATATCTATAATTTACGGACTCCATAAACATTAGTCAATAACGTGAGATCGTTTTCTAAAACTTGTCAAATACCCTATTGGCAAGGTCCCCGGCTGAAATCCTATATAAACCCTTAAGTAAACAAACTGTCTATAACACCGGTTATAGGCGAAAAACCGCTTAAAACGACTTAAGGCCAATGAAAATTAATAAAGTTCATATCGATATTCATCGGCTATAAAGACCAACCGTTTTACTTGTTCCAGCAAAACATAATATACTGTAAGTACTTATTTTTTTATAGTAATCTTTTTTACTTCTCTTTTCGATATTTTATTTCTAAAAAAGCTTATATTTATTATCTATGACCACACTACATACATATGACAATAATACGAGTACTTGTGTATATTGCCAAAAAAAACTGCCTATAACAACTATCGGACATTACGTCCGAAGTTATATGGTCTATTCAATGTCGTTATATCCGGTTTCTACTATACTTACATATTAATTTACTACTATCCTCCTAATATTATATATGTGCAAGTTTGTATGTCAATTAATCACGTAAAAACCGCTGAACGGATTTGGATGATATTTTACACACAGACATCTTATAACCTGGAAAGAGGCATATGACACCTTTTATCACGGATATTTTTAAGGTTCCTGGGGGATTTTTAGAAAACTAAAGTTCACGCGGTCGATTTCGCGGGCGGCCGCTAGTCTTAAATATAATAATACACTTTTTAAATGATAGTTTTGATAAACGAGGAAGCTTAGACTATAGTCACACTGTGTTTGGTACTACTTAAATGCCATTTGTAATTCAATGAAGAGAGACTACACACGGAGTACTAAGCAAGTTTATTCTTCGTTTATTGATAAGGTGGTACGAGTTTAAATAGAGTTAAAAACGAATCAATATTTTGATACAATGCAAATAGCAATAACCAATCATTGTTAAGGTAATGTATAACTTCCTATATGACTAGCTGACCCAGCGAACTTCGTACCGCCATAAAAAAATTTAATTAAAAAACATTGTCCAGCGGACAAAATTGTGAATCTAAACCATTCTCAGATCCCCTTGAACACACACAAAAAATTTCATTAAAATCGGTCCAGTCGTTTAAGAGAAGTTCAGTGACATACACACTCACAGAAGAATTATATATATAAAGATATTTCCTAAAAATATACTGAACTCATTTTGATGTATTAAATTACCAGACCAGAGATTACTTGAAGGATTGAAGTAACCGAACTCTATATCTATTCTGCCTTAGAAGTAATTATACAAACTCCTGTATGTAGGAGTTTCTGCTAAAAAAATACTTACTTCGCCAATTTCTATTAGTAACTGAAATTATCCTGCCTTCCTAGCATGAGCATTCCGTTATGATATGATAAAGCTTTATATGCCATTGTAAATAAACAGTTCAGTCCTCTTCGTAGCATGAGTACCACAATTTAAACTATATCACGTTTTGTTATCGTGTCTAACTGTCAAAAAAAACGAGCTATATATAAGGAGCTGGCGAACAAAACGGTATAATTACGCATCTGGTTAAACTTCTTTTTTATTCAGTCCGGAGGTTTTGGCCCCGTTGAATTTGAATCTCAAATAATTTTCAATCAAAACCGCCTAAAATAGTGTTAAAATTACTAAATTTAAAACCATGCCAAAAGCTCACTGGAGGTCTGCGATTCAGTTTTATACAGCTCCTGTAAAATTTATTTTTATGTAATTATACAGTTTTGTTCGCCAGCTCCTCATATCATATCTCGGTGCTCATGCCAGGGGGGGCATATCGATGCATTTATTTTTGTTTTAACATATCGCCTTTTCATGACAATCCTAGGACGGCTGGTATGCAAGTCAGTGAGAACAAAATAGGCCGATGTTTCTCACCAGTGGGGTGGAACTGTACGAACTCCATGTCTTCGTTCTGTAGACCCGCGCGGGCGGCCATGGCAGTGCCGTCGCCCGTGCAAGTGTGTGCAGACGTGCAACTGAAGTACGACCGACCGGTGCCGCCCGTCGCCAATATCGTGTTCTTAGCTTGGAACCTGGCGTTATAAATAAATAAATATCTACAACACTCACACCAATTAGCCTAGCCCCAAAGTAGGTGCTGTAAGGCTTGTGTTATGCGATACTAGGGTAACGGATAGAATACATATATATAAGTATATTTATATAGAAATAAATAATAAACATCCATGACTGGAGTACAAATGCTCATATTCATCACACAAACATCTATCCCCACCACTCCGGGATTCGAACCCGGGACCTCTCAAGTCGGCGACACCATGACCATGAAACCCGGTGTACAAACCACTCGACCATGGAGGTCGTCAAATGTATAAATGTTACATTGAGGGAAAACCTGCTAGTATGTGATAAATAAATAATTGTGTAAATGGAAAATTTCACATACACAAAATATTCTGTTAATATATTATGTTTTCTGCAGTAACGCAGAGGAAGGATATTGTCGATTGAGGCGAATCTATCTAAAAAATCCAATGTACTAAAATATCAAATAAAAAAAAACCTCTTTATTGTGAAATGTAGGTTAAGAGTGGACGCGAGAAACATTTGAGAAAAAGGTATTTCAAAAAGCTATTGCTGTCGCGCATTGGCAAATACCGTGAGATAGGGACAACAGTAGCTAAAGCTAAAATTTGCGTATTACAATTGCCCTATTCGAGGTTTAGCTCTCGACGATTTTCTCCTCAGAAAATAGATATGTATATTTAATAGAAATTTTACGCCTAGAATAATGAGTAGTTATACTAGATCTCTATGATTTTTTTGTTTGTAAATGCTTATTGAATCTCCACACTAGACGTCTTTAGTGTAATTTAATTGTAATGTATTTAAGTAATTTTTTGGCATTTGAGAGGGCTACTACTAGTTTCTTTGAAACACAAGTTATCGAAAAAAGGAAGACATAGGAGCATAGAATGTGTAAAATTATATTTTATGTATGAAAATAATTTCTTTAGTGATAAAATCAAGGAGGAATCACTTGAGAACGTTTGTATGAAAAAAAACATTAACCACCCACTCTCTTAATAAATAGAACATCAATTGGCGTTAGAAAAACAATATATTAAGTATCAAGAAAAAATATAGAGACCTGTGCAATGTCCCATCTTCTAGATTGATTGCGATGCATCCTTTGCAGACACCATCCTCCATCAATAAATCCAATGCAAAGTATTCTATGAAATATTCACAGTCGTATCTCAGTGATTGTCCATACAGTGTGTGCAGAAGAGAGTGACCAGTTCTATTGAAAGTATTAAAATAAAAATTGTGATTTAATTGTCATCCAATATGTATGAAAATATTCTTATAAAATAAGCAAAAAATAGTATATACCTGTCAGCCACTGCACAGCATCTATGGGCCTGTCCACCTTTTCCAAACTGTAAGGACTGCCCACCGAAGGCTCTTTGGTATATTTTCCCTTCTGGAGTACGTGAGAATGGTACACCATAGTTGTCCAGCTCAATAACAGCATGAGGTGCCTCTCTTGTCATATAATGGATGGCATCCTATTAAAGAAATAGCGAAAACAGTGTCATAGGTAAAATTATCTTCGGAATGTACAGACTGAATAAAACTATCAAATAAGAAAAACTAAGAATCAACAAAGCAAACACTAAAACTATTAGAAGTTACAATAAACAATGCAACTCTACATATAACTCTAACAGTAATTGTTGGCTATAATAGCCATCAATTATGTTCTGAATGATGGATTTATGGATTCAGTAAATTTTATGTGCCTGCTATTCATATTAAATTATTGTCACCTGACTCACCTTTACCTCAACAGTTCACATCATTATTACCATTCAAAAAGACATTAAAATGAAATACAGTATCAGTAGTAATGGAATAGATCATGCATTCCTCTAAGGGCATATTTTCCATTCTCTTATAAAATTCACCCTTGAATAAATTAAAAGCGTCTCATTTTTGTAATTCTTAAATAAAAAACAATTTATTTGTATGCATATTGTTAGTGGTCCTGGGTTTTAAAATATGCCACTGACCATATTATAGCTTTAGGGCAAAATGTCTCTTTTCAGGTATATATTTCTGGTCTATAGATAGTAATGTTAAAAAAACTTACCTGATCACCTAGCCAATCAGATCCCTTTACGGTGTCATACATATGCCAAAGCCAGTTGTCTTGTTCCATGTTGCCTAAAAACAAATATTAACTTAGAAACAATTTTAACCAACTTGGAATGTTCATCCCACTATACAATTATTTATTAACTAATTTAGTAATCACATAATAAAACAAATAAGAAAAACATAATACAATGCAACCTCAATCTAAAAATTTGGAATGGAACAAGTAAATATTCATTATATTAAGTAATTCATTTAACTGAGGTTTCATTCATTCATTCATTTATTCATTTATTTATTGCACGAAACAGAGTTACAGTAAGCAAAATGGTAAATTTTTTTTTTTTTTTTACAAAAATTAAGTAAATGACACATAGAAAAACAATTGATAAAAAAAATACTGAACTCCACTAGCATGTACAAACAGCATGTTTATACAAGTACACAGCAACCATACATTAAAAATTCAAAATTTTAATAAGTACATTAACATAGAATTCATTAATAACAATTTTAATGAGATTAAGACATGCACAATTCATTAATCAAATTAGAAATATAAAATTAAATTAATTATAAATAAAAGCATTATTAAATTAAATTAAATAAAAAACACGTGAATTTCATAGATATTGTTAAACAATTGTAATAATGATTATATCAATGGTATTAATCAATTAATCATGTTTGTTTGTTTGTTATATTAAGGTTAGGTTGGTCTAAAATTTGTTATAAGAAGGTATAAAAATAGTTTCCTGTTGTGACATGAATCACATACTATGGGATTAAGGGCCATATATTGATGGAAACGTTATATACAGGTTTTTGGTTGACAAAATTCGATAATTAGAGGTATTTACACTTTTTTTGATAGTTGAAAATTTGTTATAAAGTCGTTGTTCACATAAATTCGCAATGTAAAGGTATATTTAACATTGACTTCAGTACAATAATATTTCGTAACAAGTAAGAAAATAATATTTGGTACCTAGAGCTGCATTAATGCCCCCTTGGGCAGCAACAGTGTGAGATCTAGTAGGGAACAGTTTAGTTACAACAGCAGTCTTGAATCCTTCTTGTACAAGACCAAATGCTGCACGAAGTCCTGCTCCTCCAGCACCAATGACCAATGCATCGTGTTTATGATCTATTACAGTGTATGCCTTAGTACTGTTAGTGTTTGATGATGCCTTTCTCTGGGTAACCGCAGGGGTAAAAGCTCGCAGGTTTCGATAGACATGTGTTGCCTGTAAAAGATACTGGTTACAACAAAGAGTCAAACACAATTGTCAGTTTTTTTTTTCAATCATCAGGGAATCTAATCTCAAATTTTATTAAAGAAGCAGATGTTTTTACTAAATAAAAACTTGTAAATTATATTCTCACTATAGAAAAGTTTTTGAAACGTTCATGTATTTATCAGTTATCTAAATATAATTGGCACAATATTGTTTTTATTGAACTCTGTTAAGTCAGTATATATTAATAAATGTATCATTTTCAGTATTTAGTTGTATAATAAATGAATAAAATGAAATTCTTTTTAAAAGTCACAGATCAAAACATATTACATAACTAATTTTACACAAATTTGGTGTTAGAATTTTTAGCTTACCAGTGATGCAGGACTACGAGACATTGCTGCCTTCATTATCGCACTCATGATGGAACTCTCTATTCGCACCTGGAGCACAATATTTTATTAATTTAGTAAAATTCGCATCCAATCCAACACAGGCAGCCTACCGTTTCACAAATCGTGGTTGTCAACTGTCGATGTCAGCACATGTTTTTGTACTGTCAGTTTGACGTAGGGTTTTTGTTATTAAATTCTTATTAGGAGAAAGCATAGAAACGTAGTCCGTACAGCTTTGAAATAAAAGTTGTTTTTTTTTAAAAAGGCCTCCCACATAGGGGTTGTGCTGTCGTGGTCGCAATCTGCGGTGTGGTCTGCGGGCTACCAGATGCCACACACGATTTAGTTTAGCATCAAGTTTATAATTTTGCAGCTCGCTCGAAGCGGCGTCCACCCACCAATATACAGTTCGTCCATAAAGACCACTCTCGATCACATTTACTGTCAAGTTTGCATGGTGCAGACGGTGCCTGCTAGTGCAAATCACCTGTGAGTGACGGACGACGAAGCATTAGCAATCCTAAACTATGTCATTGCTTGCAATTAAGTAAACAGAAAGAAAAAAACTGGGTGATGCAAAAACTGGCTGTTGAAACGAAAAATATCCTGAAAGCATATACCAATGAAGATGCAATACCGTTCACTGGTCGAACAAAATTTTTCGTCTTTTTAAGTTGAGGATGAGGTACACACCTATAGCAAACAAACGATAATATGCCATACTCACACAAACACGAACGTGTTGTTGCTATAAACGCACACTTCAAAAATCACGTCACACAAATAAAAAAACCGCACACACGCTAACAATTTGTATGTAGATGTTTTGCAAATTATATTGCTGCGCAAAAAAATATATGACTGCGTTTGCTTCTTTTTATCGGATACTCTGCCTAAATTTAATTTCTTTTACACAATTAATAAAGGTAAAAGTAGTATTTTGTAAAAAAAAAACTGAGGGTATTTGACAGTATTAAAAATAAAGTGCCAATTGTTAGCATCTGTGTTTAGAATAAATATTGGCAGGGGTTTTTACTATTTTTACAAAAAAATATTCACAATTTTACTAAAAACCCATGAAAAAGATAATAGTTTTCTTATCTATTGTCACGTGACCCAAAACGTTTCGGATTGGCGGAGCCTAAAATGACGTCTCACGCAAGTAAACTTCCGGTTACAGTGACATTACATTGTATCGTTTGACGTTTTAATAACAGTCGTGTGACGTCACACACTAGTAAGACACCATATTATCCAGAGAAACGTTTTCGCGGCAAATTGAAAATGGAGTTTTTGATTTGGTTAATTTTACTGAAATACACAACAGAATGATGAATATCCACTTCGGACGGACTCCATAAACATTAGTTAATAACGTGAGATCGTTTTCTAAAACTTGTCAAATACCCTATTGACCCAATGTTATCTTCAAGCTTATCTATTCGTTGTTTAATATAAACGGGATAGCAAATTCATAGACCTTAGTAAATTGAGGTTATTTGTTTTCCTCGATGATTTAAGAAGATAATAATTTTATCATATGTGATAAATTAGAAAATACTCAGTGATTCAAGCTTTCGGCGAAGATCAATCCCATTCTTTCAACGAGTTTCTTAAAGTTTTTTTTTTTCATAAAAAAAAACTTTAAATTGAGTACGTACACTCGAAGCTCGATAGCGCCACCTGCGCATTTAATTACGTAAATGGACGGAATGAAGATCGCTTACGTAGCAACCACGGCTTATGACGATGCACCGACACCAAGGCCATGCTACCACGAGTTGCCGACGCTGCATTCTTATGCTGTTCAATCAATTAATATTTCGAAGGCATTCTGGTTCCGACCTCGAACCGATCATTAGGTTATTTAGACGTAATTTTGACATGTAATTTTTTCCTTTCTATTAAACTCATATAAAAATAATTGGTTTTTGTTCGATCCTCCGGCTGTAACAAACGTAATTGGCGCAGTCGGTAGGATCCTCGCGGCCGATTCGCGAATAATTAGGGATCTGTATAGCAATTCCGCGATCGCGAGTCGCCCGGGCGGCTTCCTAGCCCCGTTGGCCGAGGATCCTGAATCTACGGACCTGCTGCAGACCAGAGGAGAATCCAAATATCGATTCCAGAGGGAAAACCAGTTATGCTGTACATGTCAGTACACTTGAATTTTTCTCGTGTTGCTTTTCCTTATTCCATTATTCCTAGTTTTCAAAAGACGTAAAAATTTTTCATCCTAAGAGTTTAAGAGTTCGGCAACCTGTATCGCAACAGGCTCGCCAACACGCTGTAGATTTATATAGGGATATAGATACAGATTTATTAGCTGGTTTAAATTTGATAATGATGTCATCAGGCAACCCCAATGAAAGTGTAGCTACTGTTAGAATGGTTACGGATACAATTTTCAAGGCCCTTCGCCTTGTACCCGATTTTGACGGGAACCCGAATATATTAACCAGATTTATTAATATTTGTGACCGAATAGTGACTGAATATGTTAAGAAAGGCCCAGAGTACAGTTTTACTAACGATTGCTTACTGAACGGAATACTTAACAAAATTTCTGGTAACGCTGCTTCCACTCTCAACTCAAACGGAATTCCAGACAATTGGTTAGGCATTAGAACAGCTTTGATTAATAACTTTTCTGACCAAAGGGATGAAACCGCCCTTTATAGCGATTTATCCCTGGCAACTCAAGGGAACAAGTCACCCCAAGAGTTTTACGAACATTGCCAAACCCTATTCAGCACTATTATGACTTACATTAGCTTACACGAGATAATAAGTACAACGATTGAAGCAAAACGCAATCTCTATAGGAAAGTAGCTATGCAAGCCTTTGTTAGGGGGCTAAACGAACCCTTAGGGTCGCGCATTCGTTGCATGCGCCCTCCCACTATCGAGAAAGCTCTTGAATATGTACAGGAGGAACTAAAAGTTATTTATTTGCAGCAACGAGGAGATGCACCCAAAGGTCACCATGTACCAAGGGTGCCTCCCCCGTTACTATCACTGCCACCACCTCAGCCGCGACCCCATTTTATGCAACCACCCATGTGGCCAGCACCGGCAGGTCAACGTGGATACCATCCACCACCTCAGGCTTTTAAATTTAATGTTCCGCCCGCTCAATACCCACAACGTATGGGCCCAAGTCGAACTCAGCAAATGTTTCGAGCTGCACCCCCTAACTACAACCCCAATAGTAACGTTTTTCGCATACCTAATAGAGCTAATCCACCACAGAACGTAGCCCCAAAACCTATGAGCGGAGTCCAAACTTTTACACCTAGACAGTTACCCCACACTTTGATGACTGGACATGACTGGCGTAGGTCAGGGAACCCTCCTCCCTCTAATTACTTTAAAACTCGTGAGATGAATTTTAATGAGTTTTATAATTATGACGTACCCTACTACCCAACTGAATATTACGATGACACTGACTACTATGGCTACAATGGATCAAATGACTACGACTATTACTGTAGCAGTTCTTACGATAACCCCGATCAAAGTGATACCCCTAATGCTATCCCAGACAATACTGACTTATGTTACATTAACGAACCACAGCCTGGACCCAGTACCTCTAACCAGGATTTTCACAGGAATCCATTATCAAAGAAACCAAAATAGAAATAAATCTTCAAACCCAGAGACAGCTGCCCTACGTACAAATCCTTGATCCCCCATTGAAATTGCTTATAGACACTTGTGCAAACGATAATTATTTCAGTAACTATACTCTTAACTATGACCCGTTTGAAGTGACAAATGTACACGCTACTAGCCGTAACGACTACTCCATAACATTACCATGCTTTAACGGATTTAACGACAAAGACTTTATAAAACTTTTCATTTACCAATTCCATGACTATTTTGACGGACTAATAGGATTAGATCTCCTAACTAAATGGGAATCCAAGATAGACCTGAAAGAAAAGACACTTGTTACTCGATCATCATCCAACTCAATTAAAATGTACAATTCTTACAATGTTAATCTTTATGAAGATATCATTCCCGCGCAGTCTTCGAAGTTGATTAGAGTTTCTATTGATACCCAGGATGGCGAAGTTTATATTAAGGAACAGATAATATGTAATTGTATCATTCACGATTGCCTTACTACAGTAGTTAATAACCGTGCTTACTTAGAGATTGAAAACCCTACAGTAAACGATATAATTTTTTCATTAGATCGGCCAGCTCACGCAGAGTTATATAATACTAATTTTGAACAAACTAAACGACCTCAATCTCGAACTGAAGATGTAATCTCGCGACTTCGAACTGAACATTTAAATGCCGAGGAAAAAGCTAACCTCGTAGCTCTTTGCTCTCGTTATTCTGACGTGTTTACGTAGAAGGCGAAGCACTAACCTTTACCAATAAAATCAAACATCAAATAAGAACAACTGACGAAATCCCAGTCCACACAAAAACTTATCGGTACCCATTTATCCACCGACAAGAAGTTCGCGATTAAATAGATAAAATGCTAGAGCAAGGTATAATTAGACCATCTGACTCAGCATGGAGCTCACCAATATGGGTAGTCCCAAAAAAATTAGATGCTTCGGGTAAGCAAAAGTGGAGACTTGTAGTCGACTTCCGAAAAGTCAATGAAAAAACTATAGACGATAAGTACCCAATACCAAACATTAATGACGTACTTGACAAATTAGGGAAGTGTCAGTATTTTAATACCCTAGATTTGGCAAGTGGCTTCTGTCAGGTAGAAATGCACCCCCAGGACATCCCGAAAACCGGATTTAACGTGGAACATGAACACTACGAATTTCTTCGTATGCCCATGGGCCTTAAGAATTCACCCTCGACCTTCCAACGCCTAATGGATAACGTGTTGAGAGGGCTTCAAAATGAGATATGCCTAGTGTATCTCGATGACATCGTGGTCTTCAGCACCTCGCTCCAGGAGCACATCCTCAACCTGGAAAAAGTCTTCCAGCGACTTAGGGAATCGAACTTTAAAATCCAAATGGATAAGTCCGAATTCCTTAAGCTCGAAACTGCTTACCTTGGCCACATCATTGGCAAAGATGGTATTAAACCAAATATGATCTTATCGGTCACAGCTATCAAAGGCTACCCCATTCCAAAAACACCAAAGGAAATAAAGCAATTTTTAGGACTTCTCGGTTATTACCGAAAATTTATCCCAGATTTCGCCAAAATAACTAAGCCCCTT